CAGGTGAACACCCCCAGCTCTCCCAACTCTCTATGCCAGAGGTTCTCCAGCCCTTGGAGCATCTCCATGAGCTCCTCTGGACCTGCTCCAGCAGCTCCACATGTTCCTGCTGGTGCTGCCTCCACCCCAGTGGCACCAGTGGCTCGGGAGAAGCTGCTCCAAGCCCCAGAAGGTCTCACCTGTAGTAGTTGGGTTTGAAAGGCCCATTTTTGTTGAGGCCCAGGTACTTGGCCTGGTCGTCTGTCAGCTCTGTCAGGTGAGCATCAAATGAGGGCAGGTGCAAACTGGCCACGTACTCATCTGGGAATGGGACAGGGAACAGGGAATCAGGGAGGGAACAAGCCCCACCACACGCCAAGGAGCTGATGGAATCATCCTGGGGCACCACAAGGCTCTGGGTGGGCAGGAACTGACTCCAGCTCCGTGGGCTCAACAGCAACAGAGGCTCTAGCAGGGCTGGATGTGCTCCAGAGGAAACAAGGATGGCATGGAAAACCCTGGAGAAGGGAGGCTGAAGGAGGAGGAGGTGGAAGAGATGGAGGGAAGGAGATGCAGGAGGAGGAGGTGCGGGAGAAGCAGGAGAAGGAGCAGCAGGAGAAGGGATGCAGCAGGACAAGGGATACTTCAGGATAAGGAAGGTGCAGGATAAGGGATGCTGCAGGACAAGGGATGCTGAAGGACAAGGGATGCTGCAGGATAAGGAAGGTGCAGGACAAGGGATGCCGCAGGACAAGGGATGGCGCAGGACAAGGGATGCTGCAGGATAAGGGATGCTGAAGGAAAAGGAAGGCGCAGGATAAGGGATGGTGCAGGATAAGGGATGCTGAAGGAAAAGGAAGGTGCAGGAGAAGGGAAGGTGCAGGACAAGGAAAGTGCAGGACAAGGGATGCTAAAGGATAAGGGATGCTGCAGGATAAGGAAGGTGCAGGACAAGGGATGCTGAAGGATAAGGAAAGTGCAGGATAAAGAAGGTGCAGGATAAGGAAGGTGCAGGATAAGGGATGCTGCAGGATAAGGGATGCTGAAGGAAAAGGAAGATGCAGGACAAGGGATGCTGAAGGACAAGGGATGCTGCAGGATAAGGAAGGTGCAGGATAAGGGATGCTGCAGGACAAGGGATGCTGAAGGACAAGGGATGCTGCAGGATAAGGAAGGTGCAGGACAAGGAATATCTCCCACACTGCCGAACACAGAGGAACAGCAATCAACCCTCCCCACACCCATTTGAATCCTTCCCTGAACTGCTCCTCCCCTGGCAGTGTGTCCCAGCCCAGGTGGGAGATTCCCAGCATTCCAGGGAGCAGTCCCTGCACTCACCCATCTTCTTGGGCAGCAGGTACACGTCCTGTTTGTAGCGACCCTCGGGGGCATTGTACAGCTCGATCAGCGCCAGGGCCTGCGGGCACGGGCACTCGGAATCCAGGGACAGGCAGGGATAGCTCAGGGATTGTCCAGGGACAGGCATGGATAGTCAGGGATAGTCCAGGGACACTCAGGGATAGTCCAGGGATAGCCCAGGGATAGCCCAGGGATAGCCCAGGGATAGCTCAGGGATAGTCAAGGGATAGCCCAGGGACAGACAGGGATTGTCCAGGGATTGTCCAGGGATAGCCCAGAGATTGTCCAGGGATTGTCCAAGGATAGTCAAGGGACAGGCAGGGATTGTCCAGGAATAGCCCAGGGAGAGCCGAGGGACAGGCAGGGATTGTCCAGGGTCAGGGGTAGCCCAGGGACACTCAGGGACAAGCAGGGATAGTCCAGAGATAGCCCAGGGATAGTCCAGGGACACTCAGGGATAGTCCAGGGATAGCCCTGGAAAAGTCCAAGGATAGTCCAGGGACAGCCTGTTCCCACCCCTTCCCAACCATCCCAAGGACACATGTTCCTCCCCACTGACCCAACCATGAGGACCCACCTGAGTGGTGGCTGTGATGGAGAGGACAAAGGTGGGAACTGTGGAGCAGCTCAGGTTGAGGAGACGTCCCTAGGGAAGAGCAGGAGGAGTTGGCACAGAGCTGGAGATGCACATTGAGTTTCCTGATGGGGTTCACCTCCACCCCCTCCCACAGGGAGCAGAACATTCCAGCTCCATCCAACCCTGCATTTCCAAGCAGAGAGATGTTCTGGTCCCTAGGAGAGCCAATCCCACCTCCTGCCAGATGAGATCCCATGGGATGAAGAGCCACCAGGCACAGGATCAAGGTTGGAAGAGACCTTGAAGGTCATCAAGTCCAACCATCAACCCCTGTGACCTCTAAACCACATCCCCCAGTGCCACATCCAGATACCTCCTAAACACCTCCAGGGATGGTGACTCCTTCACCTCCCTGGGCAATATTCCAGTGTCTATTCCATGCCATTCCCTCTAGTCAGCTCTTCAGGGAGTTGGAGAGAGCCACAAGGTCACCCCTGAGCCTCTTCTCAAGGCTGAACAAACCCAATTCCCTCAGCCCTTCCGCAGGTGTTCTACACCTTTGATGAGCCTCATTGGACATGTGTCCTAGACCTTTGATGAGCTTTGTTGGTCATGTATTCTAGGCCTTTGATGAGCCTCACAGGACATATGTTTCTAGACCTTTGATGACCTTTGTTGGACACATGTTCTAGACCTTTCATGAGCTTTGTTGGCCATGTGTTCTACACCTTTGATGAGCCTCACTGGACATGTGTCCTAGACATTTTATGAGCCTCATTGGACATATGTTCTAGACCTTTCATGAGGCTCATTGGACACATGTTCTAGGCCTTTCATGAACCTCATAGGACATGTGTTCTAGACCTTTTATGACCCTTGTTGGACTCATGTTCTACACCTTTGATGAGCCTCGTTGGACATGTTTTCCAGACCTTTTCTGCCCTTGTTGCCCTTCTCTGGACTCTCTCCAGTGCCTCAATGTCCTTTGGGCAGTGAGTGCCCAAACCTGACCCCAGCACTGAGCTGTGCCCTCCCCAGTGCCCAGTCCGGGGGGATGAGCCCCCCCCTAGTCCTGCTGCCACACTGTCCTTGCTCCAGGCCAAGATGCCCTTGGCCTCCTTGGCCACCTGGTCACACTGTTGGCTCACACTGAGACCCATCATGGCCCAGCTCAGCATACCTCAGCCAGCAGCACCACTCTCTTCCCATCCGGCCAGATGACATGATCCACCTGGGAACGGACGCGCTCCCACGTCAGCTCCGGGGTCCGGAGGCTGGTCTGAAAGAGAAGGAGGAGAGCTTGGAGTCATGGGTGGTGTCATGGCTGGAGAGCTTGGAGTCATGGTTGGAGAGGTTGGAATCATGGCAGGGGAGGTTGGAGTCATGGCAGGAGAGG